TGCTGTCATATATTTGTACATGATCTAATAAAAAGTGGGCCTTTTTTTTGTCGATCACGGGTGAATAAAAAAAGATAGACCCCATGAATCAAAAAGGATGGTTTGCACTAAATATATTAAAATAGCGAAATCAAATCATTAAATTCAAAATAAGAATTTGCATATACAGTATACGTACGTACTGTACATATACGTACATATGTTCGCTCTACCATTACTTAAAACACAATTAGAAATATATTTATTGAAGAGAAAAAGAGGCTTTGTGTGTTAAGTGGAAGTACGAAAACATTATATAGTAAGTAGAAAATAAATTGTATGATTGAATAAAATAGGTGTTGCGCATTAGAGAGAAGAATGTTAATATGTAAGTAAAGAGTAAATAAAAAGTATAATTAGTAATAAACTAGAAAAGCTATAGCAATAAAATAATTAGAATTTACTTTACTGTATAGAAAAAATAAGTACATCTGACAAGAGCCAAGGCAATGCCTTGTGAAGATTTATCCAAAACTGACAATTGCTTTATACTATATGTTTATTGTTAAAAGTTAGCAGACAAATATAAGTGGCACTATAAATATGTTCATAGTTATATATTTTAAAGAATGCATTTATTCAAATTATCTGATATTTTATTTATTTAAAATAAAAATAATAAACCAAAAGGTTATTACAAATTTTATGCATGTAAATCTCATATCTATATGCGAATAAAGCTGTTTGTTATAAATTTAATATTTATTTATTGCAAGTTTATATTACTAGTATCTAATCATTATTTATATCACCAAATGTTTTGCTTTATTCTTTTTACGATCAAACCAACTAATTAACTTAGTTGTATTAACTATATTATCATTATCTAGACAGATATTTCAAGATTGGTATTCTTGAGCAAATTCTTTACAATTTCAATTAACATTATATTTCTTAAAAGTTCTTCCAAAGCGGGATTTTCAATTTTTCTTCTTTGCGGTTGTGAAACAGTTTCATTATTTTCATTAACTGAATTGAACTATGAATATAAGCAAAAAAAAATGCTTAAAATTTTTTATATTAATGTAAATACATAATAGAAGATTTACTTATACATTCTCCTAATATAGCTTTACACTTATTATTTCGTATTCTTTTCATTTAATGCTATTTAACAGAATAAGGTATATTCACATTCTCTTTAGTAGAAACCAATAGCTTATATTTATTTATTGTTAGTATAGTATAGAGGCTAGTATTGATTATTCTTAGCATACAATAAATAAATTACATTTGCATTATACAATTTGAGATTATTACTAGTATTTTGCTCAGAAATTGTTAGTGAGCTGCTTGATTCTTTAAAATTAGATTCATTAATATTCAAAGTAAGTGATTTGATATTTTTATTTAATGGATCATTATTTAAGTGCTAGAAAAATTATTTAAAATATATTAGTTAAATATAAAATATTAAGATAATATTTTCTCTTATACCAAAAAGAATTAAAATAATATATTTGATTGAATCTTATATAACA